CTTACCTCTCCGAACGCATCTCCACCTATGAACCAACGTGGACATTAAGATCGTCCGGGGAGGCCCTGCTCTCGGTCCCGCCTGCATCACAGGTACGGTTGGCGGGGACAAGAGACGGCCTCCTCGGTGGTGGCCCCTCGGCTATGGAATGCCCTACCCATAGACATCAGACAGGCCCCTTCGCTGCTGGCGTTCCGGAAGAAGGCTAAGACCTGGCTCTACGAGCAAGCGTTTGGCTAAATAGTGCAACTGAACATAGGAAGACGGTAAAATTGAACATAGGAATGGCACAAGGATTATGAGAATGGATTTTGCTCTGTTATCGAGGCGTCATGAATTGATAATAATTGTTGATTTTGCTATTGTGTATGATGTGTTTTAATTGTCTATTGTTGTGATAACTTGCACTGTGTAAACCGCATTGAGTCGCCTAATTAGGCTGAAAAACGCGGTATAGAAATAAAGCAAATAAATAAATAATAAATAAATCAAAATACAATAAGCAATAAACATAGCAAAGGATTAAAAGTTAAAAGTTTAAAACCATAGTATACAAACCAGTTTGGATATCCCTGCCATGAATCAAATTAGAAATCAAACTAAATAAGTATCAGCACCAGGGTAAAATAGACAGTAAATAATTGATGGCAGAACATTAAATTGAAGCAAGGCTGTTCATTGCTTCAATATATTGGGATATATGGCTATGTGGAAGGGCCCTCAGTTCAAAGCAGACATTGTGGGTTAGTCTGCCTTGATATTCTGGGTTATATGGACTTCCACACAGCCATATAACTCAAAATATCAATGCAGGCTAACCCACAATATCTGCTTTGAACTGGAATATCTGAGTTCCAATTCAAAGCAGATATTGTGAGATTTTCTGCCTTGATATTCTGTAGATACACTGTTAGTGAGACTTGTTTATAGGAAGGTAAATACAGGGTTGCTTTTTCACTGTAGCAATGAAGAAACATACAGACATCTTCACTTATATGATCTTAATTGAATTTTATGCTGTAACATTATCTATCACAACTGTTCCCCAAAGATACAGAGGTACATAAAGTAACCTGCTGTATCCAGTCACAAAGCCAATACAAATTAAATAAGAAAAAAAATATTTGCTCTCATGTCCAAAGGGACCTGAACAGGGAATTCATGATCCACTCATTAATCATATTGAGTTAAAGACTGGTTTTCTGTTTAAATTAATGAAGGTGATAAACGTGTATGTATTGTGGTTGAGTGTTACGAACGTGACACAAAAAAGTTATGAGTTGTATTTATTATGGTACAAACTATGACTGTTTAGAATAATAACAAAGCATAACGAGATACTTCCTAGGTTATGTTCTTCCAGAAATAATCTTCCTAGAAGCGAATAGCTCTTGTTTCTGAGAAGTTCTGTGCATCCATGTAGGTCATTTTGTTTGGCGTATATAGAGTGAAATACTTAATGTCACAGCAGCACACCTAAGCTAATGATTTTATATAAAAATGGACAACATTCCTTGTGTTATTTAAGGGATTTGTTTCTTTGCAATAAAGGTGCATCTACACTGTATAATTGATTCAATTTGACACCACGTGAACTGCTATGCTTCAATACTATGTCTTATGGGTTTTCATGTTTAGAACACAGACAACTAGCATTTCTTAATATTCAAAGATATAAGAGAAAAGAAATGTGTCAATGAAGGCTTCCTGCTCTTGAGCCTTTGTAGAAGATGGAGCCTGAGATCCCAGCATATTTCTTGTGCCCTGTAACTTGATTTTGGATCTGAAGCCCCTGAAAGTCCCATGGACCAAGCAACAAATTGTTGGAAGCAACTCTCCACTCAAGAGAGGCCCAAAACATTCAACTATCTGCCTTTTAAAAATATCAACAACAATGAAGAGAGCTATTTGTGGGTTGTTGTGAGTTTTCTATCTCTCCTGACATTTCACCCACATCTATGACAGGCATCCTCAAAGGTTGTGCGGTCTGTTGGAAACTAGGAAAATTGGGTTTATATATTTGTGGAATGTCCAGGGTGGGAGAAAGAACTCTTGTCTGTTTGAGGTAGATGTGAATGTTTCAGTTGGCTACCTTGATTAGCGTTTAGTGGCCTAGCAGATTCAAGGCGTGGATCCTTACAGCCTGGGGGAATCCTTTGCTGGGAGGTGAATAGCTGGCCCTTATTGTTTCTTGTCTGGAATTCCCCTGTTTTTGAATGTTTTTCTTTATTTACTGTTATGATTTTACAGTCTTTTAATACTGGTAGCCAAATTGTGTTCATTTTCTTGGTTTCTCCCTTTCTGTTGAAATTGCCCACATGCTTGTACGTTTCAATGGCTTCTCTGTATATATAAACCACAGGTATTTAAACTCAATTTTCCTAGTTTCCAACAGACCTCACAACCTCTGAGGATGCCTGCTATAGATGCAAGCGAAACGTCAGGAGAGAATGCTTCTGGTACATGGCCATACAGCCCAGAAAATTCAGAACAACCCAATGATTCTGGCCATGAAAGCCTTCAGGTTTAATAATAAAGTTTAATAATAATTCAACAATACAGAGCTATTTGTGTTTGCCTGCAGAGCTCACTGTAATGTCACAGGCAGGCTGCTTAAATTTATAATGTTATGGAAATGTATTTCTTGTTTTTAAAGTAGTTTTTAGCAATGCATATGGATAATTTTCATGTTTTAATGTTGTACCCACTCATTAAGCTGGCAATTGCTCTTTCGTTTCCAGTCTCCTTTTTTGTTTGCTGCCTTCTGCCTGAAGAAAGAATGGATTTAGCTTACAGTATCTCCCTCCGATTGCTGCTTGATGTAGAGCATTTCTCTTGCCCTTCCATTCTCAGAGCGCTGTCATGTTCTTAAAACTGATTATGATGTGGTGGATTCATTAGCTTGGAATTGATGTCATGCCTAATCAGACAACCCACAATGAGCTGCACATCTCCTTGGGTTTTAACACAAGCTGCTATTGAATTTGAGGAAATGGAGTGAAACAGTTAAAGTACACTAGTAAAAACATTTCTGAGATCTTTGCACAGGCAGTGACCACAATTTTCACTTCTTAAGTCATAAAAGCAATATTGTATCTTGGAAGCGGACCAGTTGCGTCTGTTCTAGTTAACATGGATCAGGAGACGTCTAAGTTTGCATCACTGTTAATGAGCTTCCAAAATGATTTTTCATATTTTTTATTGTTTTCCCTGAGCTTGGGAATGCACTTGTTGGAACCACAACTCCCCAAACTCCTCTCCCAGAATGGTCACTGTTCACAAGTTAGCAGCTTTTCTGAGTGTCTATTGGCTATTACTGTATTTTTTCAGTTCTAAGACTCACTTTCCCCCCCCTTCATAAACATCTTTAAAAAGGGGGTGCATCATAGAATAGCAGGTATATTATGTATTTTTGTTGTTCTTGATAGTACTGAAATTAGGGTGTGTCTTCCGATCAATGGCATGTTACAATTGAAGAAATAAGATTTTTTTTTTAATTCCAAGAGGAACTCCGTATTTGCATTTGTAAGAAACCATGACAACTCACGTCCCTTTCCAGGCGACTGAGTTGTGACCATTGTTTTTTGTTTGGGGTTACAATAACCTCCTTGTCATGTGACTTGCTTTGACTGGTTAAAATATGCTACTTGTGGAGCATGCTGACTTTAACTCTTATAAATAAACTCAGGTGTTGTTGACACATTTATCAACGGGATTCTCCTTTTTCCTCCCTATAGGGACACAAGTAGACATGAAGCACTAACTGGAGGCAGGAAATCTCAGCTAGTTCTCCTTGCATTTTTCACGGTGTGCTATGGAGACTAAGGAAGAGAAAAAAGAGAGACGGCAAGGTTATTTTGCCCGGTAAGCACATGCTGTTCTTTCAGTTGATTATAAATGTAATTGTGCATCTCTCTGCCCTTGCTCTTTGTGTTATAACCATTTAATTTAGGTCACCAAAGAAGTCCCAGTGTGCACTCAAGACTGCCTTTTTCTATTTACTGTGTGTGTTTATTTTTTTCTCCTCTGATTGTATCCTAACTTTCCACACTATCTCTTTGTAACACAGTGGTGAGGAAAGAGAGGAAACCTGGATCTCTTGGTAGATCTTTGGATGATTTCACAGTAGATTGTAACATATTTGGACAGTAGCAGCAACAAAATACCCCTTATTTCTTAAACTACCTTAGATTATCCTGCTGAAACGAGGAAAGTTTGGGGTAACCAGGAGTGGTTTTGATTATGGAAGTATTGTGTACCATTGAACTGTATTAGTTTTAATAAATTCCTAGTGTGAGTACCTCATAGGGTGCATCCAGACAGCCCCTTAAAAGCATGGAGCATCTAAGTGCTGCCCCACATGAAACCAAATGCATTCGGCACAAAGCAGGAAAACCTTGCTTTGTGCCAAATTAATCTGTCAGCTGGAAAGACCCAGGACTTTCAGAAGACCGAGTTTTTCCACCTGCAGGCGCTGTGTAGATGGAGACCAGGGACTGCGTTGCATGACTTCTGGTGCCCATCCACACAGCTGTCTTGAGTTTCTTCTGCTCCTGGAGCCCAACCAACCCAAGACAGCCCCTACCCCCTCCGAAAACCATTCAGAAAAGCATTTAAAAGAGAAAATAACTTGCCCGACCACCACTTTTCTCTGGAGCTCTCCTGGTGCGTAGAAATGATGTGCCAGGACAAGGGGGGGGGGGGTTGAGGAAAATTGCTCCTCACCCCCTCTTCTCCTAGTGCATCATTTCTATGTGCCAGGAGAGCTCCAGGGAGGATGGAATGGCAGCTGGGTAAGTTATTTTCTTTTATAACATTTTTTCTGGGTTTTTTTTTGTTTTAAAGAGTTTTAATGTGGACTCCTCCCCCCCCCCCCCCCCCCAAAAAAAAGCACATGCTTTCTGGGGTGTGTGCAGGCTTCAACCCAGGTGCAATCGTGTTTTTAAAACTTGTTTGCTCTCGAGTTAAAGGTCTGTATGGAACTGCCCTAACTGTGATTCTTCACTCCCAGATTTTGTTTGGTGGAGCTAGTGGTTCCAGTAAAAGACAAATATATGCCACAGATCTGCTATCTGCCTGTCATTGACTCATATGAGAGTTCTCTACCCTTAGCTGTAGATTGCTCCGAATCTTATTTTATTTTTAAGAGTCCTTGTTTCTGCTTATCCCTGATGGAATCCATATGTATTGAATAAACAGGTTCTTTTATATATTGTAGAAAACGAACATCTCACAAAGGGGGGGGGGGGGRGGAGACAACTGTTTCCTCCTGTTTTCTTTTCTTTATTCTGCAAGATGTTTGTTGTTATATGCTTTTCTATCATTACGTTCCTCTCAACCCCCCTCCCCCTTTGTTTTTGTGGAGTGAGACTGGAGTACGTTTTGATTTTGTAAGCATAACGGCTGCATACTGTAAATATATTTTTATCAACCAATCAATCCTTGTTTTCCTTTCAGCTGAAATCCCAGAGTTCAGGTAGTGCAGAATAACTGATCACTTGTAGAACAGCTTGTGAGCCTTGTAGCCTGAGGCTGTGAACTAGCTTAGTGACGTACCTTGGTCTGAATCACAGAGTTAAAAAAGATCTTAAGGTCATCTAATCTAATCTGTTGCTTGCTAGAGAAAATCCCATGATAGAACATCAATAGCAGATTGACTTCTGATCTCTTCTTGAAGGCCTCCACGAAGTGAGAGCCCACCATTTCCCAAAGTTGCATTCAGTTCTGGGTGCTTCATTTTAAGAAGGATTTAGACAAGTTGGAGCAGGTTCTTAGAAGGGTAAGCTGGCATGTTCAGTGGCAAGATCATACTCTTTAAATATTTCAATGGGTTTTACAGAGAGAAGGAAGTAGTTCTATTCTCTCTTGCCTCAGGTATAATGATTAAAGTTACAGGAAGGTTGAATTTGATTGAACATTAGAAGGAACTTCCTGACAATAATAGTGGTTCAGCAGTGTAACCAATATCATAAAGAGGTGTAGTTAGTCTCCTCCTGATGTCTTCAAAAAGATGTTGAGCAGATGCCTCCCAATGATGCTTTCTGTGGAGGTCCTGCACTTAGCAGGGGATTGACTTTCTGGCCCATGATGTGTAAGTGAGATGCATACATGAAAATACATGTGTAGTAGAATACCAAAACAATATGACATTTAATAACATTAAAAATAAATCTTTTTTTCTAAATAATAAGAACCAGCACAAAAATAGAGTGGTTATAATAACATCTCATAAAACATTTTCCCCCAGAATGAACATAAGGAAAACATCAATAAAATAATAAGACTACTAATCTAAATAATTATTTCCAAGCTTTGGATCTAGTCCTGCCTTCTGGCAGCAAAAAATGTGTATTTGTTCTCTTTTGTAAAGCAGCCATTCACATATTTGAAGAATACTATCATGGAAACAGTATTCTCTTCTCCAACCCCTTTAGCTTTGTTGTCAATCTCTGAACCTTTTCCAAATTATCTGTATCTCTCTTAAAAAGCAGAATGCAGAATGTATTTCAGTGGACAGCTAACTGATGCATAATAAAATGAAAATGAAATGATTACCTATTGAGATTTAGAAATGGTAGTTCTATTAAAAATCTGTATTAAAAATAGCATTGTTTTACAACGATTTCACATGCTAACCTATGATCAGCTTGTGAAAGAGCGTACATGTATCTATTTTAATACTTATTTGTTAAAATTATATCCTGCCACATACTGTAGAGTTTCAAGGCGATGTGCAATAAAATTAGTTTCACCAGCGATATAAAACCCAGACATATAGAAGAGTACATTATTTAAAATAGATACTTTAAAATAAACTAAAAAGATATTAAGCAATCTGACAAGTAAAAATGAGGCAATTAACATCACTTATATTTTTAAAAAAACAAAAACATGTGCATTACAAAATCAGTTAAGCCCCAAGGTGTTTTATTAAAAAAAATGTTTTGGTTTGGTGATGGAATGACAGCAATGTCAGCACTGATTAGGCTTCTAAGAGGGTGATTGTGATTATGATTATTTGAAACCTTTATATTCTGCCCTTCTCACCCTGAAGGGAACTCAGGGCGGAGCACAACATATATACGGCAAGCATTCCATGCCGGAACATAAATAACTATAGATATACATGAACACTAAATATTTTTCCACTCAGTCCATCAACTAGGGAGAAGGCCTCTCCATCTCCCCCCACCACCACTGGATTGTACTTAATGCTAGGACACAAAAAGGGCCCCTTTAGGTGATGCCAGATGTTGGGTCAGCTGTTTAACAGGGTGAGATACTTCTTCAGGTATTGAGGAGTACCCAATACTTTAGTGATTTAGGAATTTGAATGCCCAAGTGCTTTAGGACTTTGCATGCCAACATTAGCACCTGAAATTAAAAATTTAAGTACAGTTGGCCCTTCAAATTTGCAAATTTAATTTTTGCAGATTTGGTTAATAGGATTTGATTAATATATTCACAGTAACCCATTGGCAGTAACCATTACTGAAGGCTTACCACCACTTTTTGGCCTTTTCTGAGTTCCCCCTGAGAAACACATTCTCCCTTAGAAACATATCCCACCTATCTCATTTAGGGTTTTATCAACTTTTATCAATTTTATTTCTAGTACATTTTGCCCACCCACTGTGTTCCCATTTTTCTTTCATGTCATTCTGTTTATTTTATTTTGTTATGATACGTATGTATTTATTTTGATGGTATTTTGCTTCTTTGTATTTTATTTTGCTGTATTTATATGCTATCTGTTGACATTTTGGGCTTGTTAGCGTCCTGAGTCACCCTTGGGGAGATGGTGTTGGGGTATAAATAAAGATGATGATGATGATGATGATTAATAATAATATGGTCCTCCATTATGGCTCTTATGGTCAACTTCCAGTCTAAACTAAAAAAAGTATGTACATCTAATATGGGAAGCCAGTGTAATATAGTGGTTTGACCATTGGATTGTGATCCTGGAGACCAGAGTTCAAATCCTTGCTCAGCCATGGAAAGCCACTGGACAAGTCACAATTTCTTAGACTCTAGAGTGGGCATGGTCAAACTTTAGCCCTCCAGATATTTTGAAGTTCAAAACACCCAGAGGGCCGAAGTTTTCCCATGCCTGCTCTAGAGTAAGGTAAAGGCAACTTCCATCTGAAGAAACTTTGACAAGAAAAACCTGTGATAGGTTCACCTTAATGTCTCCATGAATCAAAAATGTCTTGAAGGCACAAAGCTATGTCGAATACCTTCTTTTGTCAATGAGTTAAAAATATTCCATGCCAAGATAAGATATTTGGCATTTCAAATAATTGATTTTGGTGCTTTTTGAGTAAGGAAAGGTCTGTTTTTGTGTGCTCTCTTTCAGTGGAGCTATAGCCTCTGGTAATGATATTGTTTCTGTCTTGTAGGAAAAACCAGTTTCCTCTTGTGTTGGAAATATTGCATTAAATTGACTTGAACAGAACTGAAACCCTTTGAAAGCATGTAGTGTGGGAAGTATCTGTTGGCCCTCAGGCTTTCAAAACTAGGACACCAAGCGTGTGGGTTAAAAATCTTTGTTCCTCTTTTTACGTAGGTTGTGGGTTATGAAACGGGGTTGGTTTATCTGTACATGATCTGTAAGGTGCCCTTTCACAGACGGGGCGGAGGACTTTGTGACAGAATTATAAGTGAGAGTAGGAAGATGTAGATACATTCCCTTCTTGATGCGAGAGTCTCTCATCTTTTGGAAGTGAGATTTTTATGTTTTTGGCCAAGGTTATCTCACCAACCAAGTTTTTCTGTTCTAAAAAATACATCCTAGAATATATTTTAGTCATTCTAAAAATAATAATAAACAAGATTAAAAAGATTGTAAAATGGCAGACATGGCTGTAAAGTTCACCAGTGCCAGGTCTGGAGACTATAATTTGTGGATCCTCATACCCATACATTTTCAGGGTGACTAAAATGATGTCTGGAGAACAAGCCCCTATGAGGAGCGGCTTCAAGAGCTGGGCATGAGAGGAGACATGATGGCCATGTATAAATATGTGAGGGGATGTCATAGGGAGGAGGGAACAAGCTTGTTTTCTGCTGCCCTGGAGATCAGCATGCAGGACAATGGCATCAAACTACAAGAAAGGAGATTCCACCTGAACATTAGGAAGAACTTCCTGACTGTGAGAGCTGTTCATCAGTGGAACTCTCTGCCCTGAAGTGTGTGGAAGCTCCTTCTTTGAAGGCTTTTAAGCAGAGGCTGGATGGCCATCTGTCAGGGGTGCTTTGATTGCGAGTCTCCTGCTTCTTTGCAGGGGGTTGGACTGGATGGCCCATGATGTCTCTTCCAACTTAATGATTCTATGATTCTATATTTCCCTCTATTAAAAACAAAGAGAAAATGGTTAAAATGACCCGACCCCCTGAATTTCTGGCTAAGATAAACTTCTCTTGGGCCCACAGCAGATCAAAGAAACCAGTGGCCCCAGTGTGCTGGAAGTGGATGTCCCAGAGGGTAAAATCTACTTGTGGCAGTTTGCTGATAGAATAACCCATGAATGGAACAGGCTTTGTTTCCCCGAAACCATTTTTAGAGACAGTGGAAAACCCAAAAGCATATTTTGGTGGGTACATGAGGCATCTGATACAGCTGGCAGATGTGGAGGAGGGAAGAAGGCGTTTCTGCAATTTACTTTTTTAAAAGGTCTGAAAAGATGGATCATAATATTGTTTTGTGCTCATTTTGGTGCCTTATCAAATAATGTAGAAGGAGATGTTGGTTTCTTCAAAGTATATAACATTTTTTTTCAATCGCACAATTGTTCTGGTTAGTGATGTCAAAAATGGAGTGTGGGAGCTGTTTTTAAGGGCCTGACTTGTAGGGTGTATGGTTTTGATATGTTGAATGAACATACTTGCTTAATATAAATTCTCAGTCTTGAGTGTAGACTAACTTTCTGCAGCCAGGGACATTGTTTGTAATGAGGCAAACCAAATTCCCTAGTGGATGTAAATGTAAACTTCTAATTAAATTAGGTGGGATGATTATTTTATATTCTCATGGTTTGATGCATTCTCCTGAGAAATGGAGAATGGTCTATGAATCCAGCATCAAAAATGTTATCTTATTATTTCCCAATTTAAGTATGTTTATTTACCTGTCTTTCTTCACTAAGCTCAAAGCAGTACACGTAGCTCTTTCATCCCCACTTTATCCCTACAGTCAGGGAGTAAGCTAGAGTGGTGGTCAACACTATGAGCTTCCTGATACAAGATGAACTTGGATCTCTCAGGCTCCATCTACACTGTTTTGAGAACTTTTGTGAACAGTACTGTGAAGTAGAGTAGCTATTTAAGATGCATCCTGGTAAATTAAAAGGCAGTAATGGGATAATTGAAGTGAAATTGTGAAATTAGTTGTTTATTTTGGTTTTAGGAAGACATCTTACCACTATTGCAATTATTTGTTGCAAATAGTGCAATTAGCTCAGTATTATTTGCATTATCTGTAAGTGAGTTTCCAAGGTTTTTCTCTATCTTTCCCAGCCCTGTATGGAGATGCTAGGTCTTGAACTCAGAAACTTTCATGCCAAACATGTGCATTGCCACTATGTGGTGTCCCTTATTCTGAGTTTCCTTATGCCCAAGGTGACTTATCAGTATAAAAATAATAACTAATGAACATGCAACACGAAAATGGGAATATTATTAAACTTTGCTTTTGAAACAAAAGATTATTCTTCTAACTTCATCAGAGTTCTTCGTCTCTCTGTCTCCTTGTGGGCAGTTATTAGAGGTTTGGAGAAAACACATGTTAGAGGACACTGATTTATATAACCTTGAGTTAAGTGAATAACATGTTTCTGTGAAAACAAAGCCAGTGAGAAATGGGGGGAAGCTGACTGTGAAATTATAGGTTTGCAACATATTAGAAGGGATGACATAATAAATAAATATCAGCTAAACATATTATTCAGTGTTGTGTTCTTTGAGAAGATGTTTCATGCAAAATCCTACCTGGGTTCACAATAGCTTGCTTCATTCACTATGTCAGAAGCATGGCAGCTTTTGCAATATGTATTGGTCGCATACTGGTAATTTCAGAAGTCCCAAGTTCATATAGAAGAAATCCATGACCCTGTACCTCTTAATTCAACAGTGTCTCAGTTTCAAGGATAACTGATGGTAATGTGTGCTAGATTGGTTGAATTCAGACTTCTGAGGTTAACTGAAAGGGCACAAGAGGCGGAAATACAGTAGCAATATGTATTTTGTGGAAATAGAATTGAAAGAATAATTGAAAATCAAGTAACCAGTGGACCATCATTAACAAAAGTTTTGTTTATTTCGATTGAATTTTCTATAAGAAGAGTTGGCAATTTTATATAAGAAGATTGGCTGATCTCAGGCTGTGGATCTCTCTTGCACTTCCTTCCCTGTGGTCCTTTATGTTTGGATAAACATTAAGCAATTGAAAGACTGACTGCTAACAAAGGGGCTTCCAATGATTCATTGCTGTACCTTTTTATTGATGGGTTTTGAAGTACTTTTTACATTATGGATCTAATAATGCAGTTGTGCTTCAATATTTGTCCACCTTCAAGTCATTTCTGACTTAACGGTGATCCTATCATAGGAGTTTCTGGGGCTGAGAGGGTGTGACTCACCAAAGTCTCCCAGTGGGTTTTCATGCCAGGGTGGGGAATCACACCCTGATCTCCAGGGTCATAGTCCAACACACTGGTTTCAATATTACTACAATGTTGAATGTTTTATTCTTGCCATTTTTTAATCACTTTTTATATTGTACCTGTTTTATCCACATCCACTTTAGGACCCATCTACATGAACCATATGAGTTGGCCCAGAAGAAGACCATTTAAGTCCCACATTTTAAAAAGTAGTCTGTGTTTTGAGCCAGGGTAAACAGTTGGGCCGCTTCCTGTTCGGGAAGCAGGTGTTTACACACCATCCTGTTTTCCCTGGGCTCAGGCAGCCTAAGGATAGGAGATGGCACCCATCTTGTCCTGTTGAGCTGACCTTTGCATTGCTCACTGGGCATGGAAATGATGGTGTCTGTTGTGATGAGGCAACTGGAGGAAGGGGGCAGTGATTTCTCCTTTTCCCATACCCCTTGGTCATATTGCTTTGCAGCTCTAGGTATTATAATTACAGGCACCAAGCAATGAGCACTGTCATTTGTGTGCCTGGTGGCACCCCAAAGGCCAAAATGACAGGGCCAAGTTAAGGATAATCATCTAGTAGCACCAAAAGTGTTCCAGCACCACTGGACCATGCAGTCACTATCCAGCCACCAGACTGGGAACATGCAGTGTTGATGCACACTAGCCCCCATACTGGCTTGGTGGCCAGCAATGTGGACCATGGCGATGTTGCTCCAAAATATTCCACTCCAGATCAGCATTTCCATTTGTATTCTGTGCAGATGGACCCTAAATCATGTTGTGAGCTGCCTTGAGTCCCAGTTCTGGGAGGTCAGTTAGACACAAGTCTAATAAAGGTGTAATAAATGACTCAATTGCTGGTCATTTTTTTTCACTGAAAGCTATCCCATGTATATTTCTTCCATTTCTTTTCTTTTTCTAGTTTGAAGAAGAAGCGGTTAGCTAAACAAAATGGAGAGACAACTTCCACAAATGGAACTGCAGTTTGTAGAACTTCAACAGGAAAAGATGATGTCACTTCGGGTCAAACCAGTGGATCCCAAGAAAACTGCAAACATTCTGGTGAAAAGGAGGACTATGAGAAAAAAAAGAAAAAGAGTAGCCAGATAAAGGATATTAGGCGCACAGATCTTAAGCGATTTTATATTACTGGTGAGTAACAAAATATCTTTTAAATGTAGCAACCTAAATTTTGCCAGTCTTCTGATGTTGCAGCTCTGCTTTTACTAAGTTTACTTTTCAGAGTCTATATGGAAGATATAAACATTTTAAAGTTTTATAAGCTCTTTTTAGCACTTTGGTCATACTACAAAACAATTATTATCTTATTGGTCATGTTAGAGGCTAGTTAAGTACATAAAATCAATTCGTTTATGGATTTTTAATGTATTGGTTGAGAATGTATTGACATGTTCTAAAATAACATTTTTTTAAAAAAAATTGCTATGTATTTGAAAGTGATATAGCACATCCATTGGGTTGGGATGAATAACAATTCCAAACATTGTGGCTTTAATGATAGATAGATGTGTGTTGTTTGACTTTTGGGGGATTTACCAAGTAGGCTGGGGTCAGATTTGGCATTTGTTGTTAACTGCTGTCAGGTAGACGCCATTTTATAGCCGCCCTATGAATGAGAAATGTCCAAGTCATCCTTTCATCAAGGAACCTTATTTGTTTTTTACAAACTTAGGACTATGGCTTCCTTGATTGAACCTATTCATTTGCAATAAGATATTCCACTTCTCGTACTGCTGTTTTCCTTCTATAGTGAATTATGTTTTTTTATGCAGTGGCCAAAATACAAACAACAGCATCGGTTTTGCCATTTTGGCTTCTAGGGAGAGTTCAGGCATCGCTTCTCCAGACCCATTTATTTGTCTCTTTAGCAATCTACAGTATCCAAAGAACTCTCCACCAGCACCAAATTTAAATGGGCCGATGCCTTTCTATCAGGCCCGTAGCCAGGATTTTGTTTGGGGGGGGGTGAGTTTGGTTCGGGGGGGGCTGAGTCTGAGTGAAAGAGGGTCTACCCTAGCAAACCTTTTGTATCATTACCCCAATACACCCATGCATATGGGATATATTGAGCATGGTGATCAGATCATGATATGAATAAACATAACAGTTTAAATAATGTACCAGTAAGGCCTTCTCGCAGACCACCATCAGAATTTGGGGGGGGGGATGAAGCCCCCCAAGCGCCTTCCCCCGGCTACATGCCTGCTTTCTATCAATTTTCTTCACTGCCCAGCCTTCATAATCTTACATATAAATGGAAAATTCAATGTATTTGATCACGTTAAGTGTTCCCCTGCTGATCATATAGCTTTCCCACTCTTAGTTTAAATTTCTATTTGATTTCTTGGATCTTGTGGAAGAAGTTTCTCCTTCTTTTTGTTCTTGTCAACTTCTATTTCCCTGCATTGATTATTGTGGTGGTTCTCCTTGCTCCTGCACACTAGCCACTGAGCAGTGCATTCATGATTCCCACTCCATTTCTGTTAATTTTTACCTTTACTGTCCTTTATTGTAGCCAGCGATACCATCAATAACTAATTTTCAGCTTTCCTTAATCTTTCCCAGAGCTAAAGATGAAGTCAGGTCTGAGATACTTGATTCTCTAGAGAAGATACTGGTGCTTTTCTTTGTCAAAGAGTTAAGGTGTTGGGAGGGGAAGGTGTCTGTTAATCATAGGAGACAAGAAGTGCTTAATGAAGGGGGAAATGAATGAACACAGCGGGAGGGGGGGGGGAGGACTAATGAGAAGTGAAAAGGGGGGGGGGAGAACAAAAAGAGGAAAGGGAAAGATGAAGTCGAATAGAGTGGGTTTGTTGTTAATGTGTGCCTTAATTGCTGATCTATGGCAATGCTAAGGAGATCTGATCATGGGGTTTCTTGGCAAGATTTGTTCAGGAAGGTTTTCCTTTCTGTTCTTTTGAGGCTGTGATAGTGTCACTTGCCCAAGGTTATGCAATGGATTTCCATGACTGGCTGGGCAATTCACTTAAATATTTTAGCCTCATGATCATTCCTTCATTTGAGCACTCTTTTGTGTTCCTGGTTGATTTACCAAACCCAGATTTTGTAATCTTATCATTATAATACAAATTATGAATATGGTGCATGCATTTGTGAACATGTTTATTTATTTATTTATTTATTTATGGCATTGATATGCCACCCTTTTCACCCCAAAAGGGACTCAGAGCGGCTTACAAGATATATATACATACAATATATTATATTATTAGCATAGCACAATATCAGTATTATAATATTATAATATTATAATATAATACAATATCAGTATTCCTCCATGAGAACATTTCTTGATAATCTTAATACAGTAAATCATAATAATAATATGAATTATGTGTCCCAAATGCGTATTACATTTTTCTGAGAATACTTGGTTATTTGTTCAAAAGGTCCTATAACAAGAACGCACTGCTGAAAGAATTAAGAGCTAGGAACAAAGAAGCTTTTGAAAGTATGCCTATAGCATAAACACTGTCTTTGGGATTTAAGAGCCTAATGAAAACTGTGTTGAATCAATCACATTCCCAGGAAAGCCCTGGAAATAGTTTCTTCAACAACTATTGCCTCCTATGCACAAGTATTCAGAGGCATGCCATCTCACAGTATGGAGGTTCTATACTGTACTAGCAGCTATCACTGTTATCATATTTTTCATAAATTTATAAACCTTTATCACGTTTTGCCTTCAGTTAGTTTTTCACCCGTGAAGCTAAAATGGTTCACCTTTGGCTTACAGGCAGGGATTTGCAAAGTGATGTGCATTACCCAAAGTGACTTTTACAATGCTCTATGACATTTCTGAAGAGTAAATAGAGTTTGCAAGAATGACTCCATCGTTCGGCAGGTCACCACAAGGATAATGGGATGGGAAATGGCTGCCTGAGTTATTTTGGATAAAGTTCAAATGAATTTAGTTTAGAGAACATAAGATAGTTTTCTAGCAGAGCCATAAAACATTTTGCTTGTATAATGAATCTGCTTAGCATTTATATGGCAGTGGGACAATTTCAGCTTTCATGATGACCTTCACAAGAGACCATTTCTTCCTTTCATTATCAAAGGCAGAGTGGCAACAATAGGCAAGGCCTTTCTCTGAATCTGACAATGCAGTGTTTCATGCCCTTGCAAATTTGAATTAAGGGGGCAGAAAGCTAGTGAATCTGTAGGATTTGTTTGTTTTATACAATAACAAGTGTTGCCAAGTGTAATAAAAATAAAAAATATTGACAGAGTGGAGAAGCAAGTATGTTTCCTGGCATACTTTTGACCATGAGTGGACAACTGTGGTAGGTCTGGAGGACAGTACTGCGTGTGCTGATTCCCCAGTGGCCTATATCTTCTGTTGTTGCTTCCATGCACCACTAAACTTTAGAAGTACATTAGCAAAGGGAAACTGACAAATCACACCTCTGATTTCTGGGCTAAAACAAGTTTCTCAGTAAGTGGGCGCCTCGATTTAGACACAAATTTCTTGCAAGAATTCACAGTTTGAAAAAGAATTGCATTTTCAAATATGTCATCAGTTCCTGGAGTGTCTTGTTTTGGTATAACATGCTGTTTTGCAGTTCAGCCAGAATGGGAGCCTCAGAACTACTAGCTGTGGAAATCTGCAAGTGTTGTGCAGCATTTTGCACATTCTTGCCTTAAACTACGTACAGGCTGTCCCCAAGTTACAAACATCCAATTTGCAAACTACTCATAGTTACAAATGAGTTGAGACAACAGGAAGTGAGAGAAATCTACCCCTAGGAAGGGAAATTCACTCCTGGAAAAGTTATCATGGGGGAAAGGTGTCTCCACTGAAGCTTTATAATCAATTCTTGTTTCCACAACAAGCCAATTTTTTTCCAAATCCAATTCATATAGGGACAGAAAGTGAGGCGAAATCTTCTGAACAGGAGCACATAGCAGTGAAACAAACACCACAGGAGCATTAACTCTTTTCCATGCTATCCAAAGATAGATAGATAGATAGATAGATAGATAGATAGATAGATAGGTATAGATATAGATATATGGAATTACACTTTAAAATTTACATGTTCTGACTTACAAACAAATTCAGCTTAAGAACAAACCTACAATAACTTGGGGACTGCCTGTATCAGTTGATTTCAGGGTTTTATCCAATAGTGGCTGCATGTAATTTTGAAAGCACTTTGTGTTGCAGAAATTTGGATACCAGCCACCCTGTGCTCCTTAGCTGTCACTGCACCTTTCAGACCCAGCATGAGATGTGACATTAGGAAAGGCAAAAAGGAATGAGCAGTGGTCAGGTGCTCAAGAGCTTGCACGTGGAAGCACATTCAGTAGCAGAAAGCTGCTATTGGAAACAACCCTCTGTCAAAAAGCCAGACACAAAAAACAATGGTGCAACTTGTTTTTGGGACATAAAATTGTAAACAAAAAGAATTTGCTTTCACATATATTTATAAAATTGTATGCACATACTGTAGAGATTCAACTCATTTTGGGAGCAAATACAAGTCTAGGGATTGCTTTGACTCAATTGTATATTTCAGTAATCAAGCCTCAAGTGTGTCTAATCAATATCCCGGAATCAGTAGTCAACCCACACTCCACAATTATAGCAGTATATTCTACTTTAACTGGCATGACAGTATCTAACTGAATCATGGGGATTGTAGTTTAGAGAGATATTAGAACTGTTTTGGATTTCAGCTTCCAGAAGTCCAGGCTTAACTTGAGTCTCCCATGCCCAGTTTGAGGCGGGCTTCTTCAGGATTGCATGTTGCCAAATTGTTCATTGTTTTGTTTGGAAAGGAGCAAAGTTTGGATCAGGACCCTGTAAATCAGTAAACAGAAATCTGTTAGTTACTCCAGATTGCATTTTCGTGATGCCCCTTTGGCATATCTTAAGATACTTGAGGCTGTTTTGCAGTTGGGACTGGATTTCATATTACAAAGGTTTTCTAGCAGTGCCTGCATCAACCTACTTTATATACTCATGTACAAGTTGACCTCATACATAACCTACATTATATAATCATGTACAAGTTGACCTCATACATAACCTACCTTATATAAACATGCACAAGTTGACCTCATACAAAACCTACCCTATATACTCATGTACAAGTTGACCTCAT